ACTTGGACACTGGCTGCAACTGCATGTTTGATGTCTTGTAGGGAAGTAATAGCAGTGTTAGCAGCGTTAGCAGCATTAGCACCAATAGCGGCTGTTATTGTCTCAGATGATGTCCCAGCATGAGTCGAGCACCAACAGCAAAGGCTGTGTTCCATTCCAAAATACCTAAATGYGAACTACAACGTTTAAGCTTTCACTTTTACATTTAGATTGAAACATTTAGATTTAAGATTTAATATTAAACTTTATTTTTTAACATTTAAATTTAAGATTGAATAAAAATTAGCTGAATAATGTAAAATATGTCCGACATGTTTTTGACGTTTTGTTTCACACTGATCCGGTCGGTTTATTCCTGTCGGCTCAGTCCAAAGAGCGGACCGAGCTGGACCTGGCCGGCACCGCCGTCCCCCTGGAGGTCAGCACCGAGTGCCTGACGCTGAGGGAGGGGCGGCGGGGGTCCGAGCTGGTGGAGGACCCGGTGGAGGAGGAGCTGAAGAAGGAGGCGGAGCTGATTGGAGGAGCGCAGCGGCGCCTGCAGCGGCACGTGGATCAGGCCTTCGAGCAGCTGTGGTGAGTGACCCGGCCCGGTTCTGAGCGGTCCGACCCGTCGGTGGGGGAGGGGGGTCTCTGACGGTTTGTCCTCTGCTGGCAGCGTCCTGCAGGAGGTCCGGCACCAGCTGACATCGGACCTCCAGAACAAGATGGAAGCTCTGGACATCGACTCGTCATGCCTGRCGCTCACTCTGAAGTCTCCTCACATCTCGCTGAAGCCCAACCCGACCCGGATCCCCTCAGGGTACCGTCAGGACCAGCTGAGGTCTGTTTGGGGTCAGACCCGGTTTAACGTGGTGTTGTGGTCCGCTCAGGTCCTCCACCCCTCAGGAGTGGACCCAGTTCAGCCAGTCCAACKTGGCTCGAGCCCACGAGGTCCTGCAGGCGTCCCAGCAGCTCAGAGAGGACACGAGTCTGAGCAGAGCCCAGGTGGGTCAGGGTGGGTCAGGGTGGGACTTACGGGATAAACCTTGTGCCAACAGGAAGTGAATCTGAATGCTTTGGTTTGAAAATAAATTTCACTAAATAGAAACTGAATTTAAAGTTTTGTATCTGAATTAATTTDCTTTGAAACTGTATTTTGGTTTATTAAAAATTCAGTTTGACTACTTTCACTTTCAGTTCCATAATTCAGATGTTTGTGTCACATCCTGGTCCTTGAGAAAGCCAGGCAGAGTAATCAAACACAGATCCACAGATTTATGTTTCACTTTGGTGAAGTTTCCCTTCTGGATGTAACAGAGTTGATGCAATCCACTGTAAAAGTGACAAAAACACACAAAGTTATTTTATTGCAGTGATTAATTTGACCTATATGTAGAAAATGTTACATTCACTTTTTGTTACATCCAGAAGGGAAACTTCACCAAAGTGAAACATAAATCTGTGGATCTGTGTTTGATTACTCTGCCTGGCTTTCTCAAGGACCAGGATGTGACACAAACATCTGAATTATGGAACTGAAAGTGAAAGTAGTCAAACTGAATTTTTAATAAACCAAAGTACAGTTTCAAAGTAAATTAATACAAATTGACTTCCTGCTGGCACAACATTGATCCCATATGGGACTCAGACCAGGATCCAGATCCTGGACCCGAGCACAGAAAGTTTCAAACGTTCGATTTGATCTAGATCCAGAACGAGCTGGAGATCCAACGCGGAGCCACGGAGTTCGCGCTCCGCAAACGAAACCACCAGGAGGAGCAGGCCCGGGACCAGCTGCAGTGGCAGATCCAAARGGTACCACACCAGAACCAGAACCTTCACCGTTTATCTTTGATGACTCCAACGCTGCGTCTCTGCAGACTGAAGACGAGATGGCAGAGATGGAGARCGACATCCGGGGCCTGGATGCAGACCTGCAGGCCAAGACGGCCTCCCTGAAGCTGGCCCACACCAGGCTGGAGACCAGGACCCGCAGGCCCGGCATGGACCTGTGCAGGGACCAGGTCTCTGTGGGGCTCAGAGCTCTGTTGGTCAGTGGGGTGACAGAAACAGTGACCGGTGGTCTTCCTGTCTGGGTTCCAGGTGCAGTTCGGCCTCGTGGCTGAAGTCCAGCAGCTGGAGACCACCATCCAGAACCTGCAGCAGAAACTGTCCCAGGCTCAGTGAGTTCTTCTTCCTGATCAGAACCTTCCATCCACAGATTCACAGACTGCATGTATGTGAGCCTGTGTGAAAGTCTTTAAAGTTCTGGTTCTGGTCCACTCAGAGCCTCCCTGCAGAGGATGAAGCTCCACCACAGCCGGATGCTGCAGGACCTCAACAGGAAGCTGGAGGCTCTGTCTCTGGAGCAGCGCAGCATGAAGACCCGGACCCGCCTCGCACCCACCTCCAGAACCACCGAGGACAGCGCAGCGCCGCTGGTTCCGCTCACAAACTCCAGTGGGAGGAGCAACCTGCAGCTGCTGGCTCAGTGAGGACCTGWTGGACTCTGAGCATCGTTTGGATTTATTATTTTTTTTTTTTCTGCTCTGGCATCAGAAAATGTTTTAATAAGTAAAGTTTTATGTTTTACCTGCTTCTCCTCAGGAGACAGGAAGTCTACCTGAACAGGTAGTTTAAACTCTTCAGACTAAAGGTCAAACAGCTGATTTACTTCCTGTTTGCTTTTATTAAAACATCCTCCTGTTTTAAAAACACAGCTGCTGAGACACTCTGGATGGATGATGGATGGATGGATGGATGGATGTAGATAGATGGATGATGGTTTGATGGATGATAGATGGATTGATGATAGATGGATTGATGATGGATGGATGGTTGATGGATGGATGGATGGAGATAGATGGATGATGGTTGGATGGATGATAGATGGATTGATGATGAATGGATGATGGATGGATGGATGGATGTAGATAGATGGATGAAGGTTGGATGGATTGATGATGGATGGATGGTTGATGGATGGATGGATGGATGTAGATGGATGATGGTTGGATGGATGATAGATGGATGATGATGGATGGATGGATGGATGGATGATAGATGGATTGATGATGGATGGATGGTTGATGGATGGATGGATGGATGGATGTAGATAGATGGATGATGGATGGATTGATGATGAATGGATGGACGGATTGATGTACATGGATGGATGGAGATAGATGATGGATGATGTAGATAAATGGATGAWGGAAGGATGATGGATGGATGATGAATGGATGGTTGATGGATGGATGGATGATAAATGGATGGATGATGGATGGATGGATGTAGATAGATGGATGATGGATTGATGTAGATAGATGGATGGATGGATGATAGATGGATGGATGAATGTAGATGGATGATGGATGATGGATAGATGATGAATGGATGGATAGATGATGGATGGATGGATGATAGATGGATGGACGAAAGATGGATGTAGATGGATGATGGATGGATGAATGTAGATGGATGATGGTTGGATGGATGATAGATGGATGATGGATGGATGATGGATGGATTGATGATGAACGGATGGATGTAGATGGATGGATGGATGATAGATGGATGTATGAAAGATGGATGTAGATGGATGATGTATGGATGTAGATGGATGGATGGATGATAGATGGATGTAGATAGATGGATGGATGATAGATGGATGTAGATAGATGGATGATGGATGGATGTAGATAGATGGATGGATGATGAATGGATGGATGGAAGGACGGATTGATGTAGATAGATGGATGATGGTTGGATGTAGATAGATGGACGATGGTTGGATGGATGGATCAGCTGATCACAGAATCACTAATAAATAAACCAGTGTGACTCAGCACTTTTGGAGGTTTAATGTTAAGTCAGTTTATTAGTTATAGTTTTTTTGTTGTTGTTGTTGTTGTTTTGTATTATTGTTGTGTTTTTGTCTGATTCAACACAAACGGAGCAGCTCAGGTCTGAGCTGACATTTGTAGCCATCTGGACCTGTTTTTATCAGAACCGTCTCCTCCGGTTCTTATCAGCCTCCGGCTCTAATGGTTGTTTGGCTTCGTCATGTTTGTGTAAAACCTGACGGCTGTGATAACCACGTGAACTTTGACCCCATAAATCTGAGCCTGCTTTACAGGAAACCGGGTTCTGTTGGACCTRTTTGGTCACAAACCTGTCCAGATCAGCTGTGTGTGGCAGCCATCTTGAATCAACTCAYTCATCAGATATTTTGCTAACAGCCAGATGATTCACTTGGTGTKTTTATCACTTTCCTGGAAGTCAGACAGACTCATGTTTCTTGGAAAAAAAAGATTTTCTGCTTCATTTTCCTGATCAGAAGCTTCTGGTTGGCCGGGTCGGGCCGGCCGGGTCGGGCCGGGGTCATAAACCCATCACAAAGGGTCCACTCAGACAGCACGCGCTTCCTGTCCGCGGCCATTATTCTGAATCATTTCACTTTAAGGGCCCGGCGCTGACGGGGTGATTAGGCCCGGCCCAGAACTTCTGCCTGAGCGCCACCGTCTCCTTATCTGAGCTGATGTCGTGTGCGCCTCGCCCCCAGCGCGCCCACTCTCAGGCCACCGCCTCCTTTTCTCCTTGTTGTTTTGCCTCCTCAGCCTGAGACGGGCTGCGCGGCGAGCGGCTCGTGACTTCCTGTCGGAGCCGTCATGGTGTAGACATGGAGCTGACGGTGAAGGACTGCGTCTCGCTGCCCGTCTACACCTTCACCTTCCTGTTGGGACTTCCTGCCAACCTGTTCGTCCTCTTCGTCTACGTCCGCAAAGCTCGCAAGCGCGGCGCCACGCCCAACGTGGTCTACGCCCTGAACCTGTGCCTGGCCAACCTGGCGCTGGTGGCCTGGCTTCCTGTCAAGGTGCTGGAGACGCTGCTGAGGAACTGGACGCTGCCGGCGCCGCTGTGCCCGGTGTACAGCTTCTTCCTGTACGCCTCGCTGTACGGCAGCTGCCTCTTCATCACCGCCGTCACCGCAGGGCGCTACCTCAGCATCGCCTTCCCCATYGTCTACAAGCGTTACCGCCGCGCCCGGCTCTCCTGCTTCCTCTGCACCGCCCTGTGGGCGCTGGTCGTGCTGCACCTCAGCGTCAGCCTGATGGCGGAGGGCGGGGCTTACTTCGTGGGCGTGGAAAACGACAGCAGGGCGTGCTACGAGCACTTCAACGCCTCGCAGCTGGCCGTGCTGCTCCCGCTGCGCCTGGAGATGGCCGTGGTTTTGTTCATGCTCCCTCTGACGGTCACGTCTTTCTGCACGCTGCGCTGCGTCACGCTGGTGTGGCGCTCCAACCTGCCCCCACCGGGGAAGAAGAGGGTCCTGGCGGTGGCGCTGTCCACGCTCGCCGTCTTCGTCGTCTGCTACGCGCCCTACAACGCCTCGCACGTGGTGGGCTTCGTGCAGGGCGACAACGTGGCGTGGAGGAGCTCGGCCATGCTGACCAGCGCCTGCAACGTCTTCCTGGAGCCCGTGGTCATGCTGATGCTGTCCCCGGCCGGGTCCAGGGGCCTTCTGAGGCGGGTCTGCGGTGGGCGGAGCCTCAGCGGGCGGCACCGGGGGAAAACTACCAGCGGGTTCACCAACATCAAGCTGCCGTCTGACAGGAGCCAGGTGGGAGGCCAGGTGACGAAAACACACTGAGCTGAGGTGGAGAACAGATCACACAGAACCAGACCTGATCCAGAACCAGGACCAGGACTGATCCAGAACCAGGACCAGGACTGATCCAGAACAGTTTGGACAGAAAAAGACTGAGTTTTCTAATAAAAACATCAAACTTTTGTTTGAAACTTTCTGACTCCAGCTGCAGACAAACGGTTTCTTCTCAGAGGAATTAAAGTTCAGGTTCTAACGGTCCGCCTGACCCGATCCTGGTGTTCAGAACCAGACGGCTCCACCTGGTGTCTGTCCTCATGTCTCTGTGGTTTATTTCTAACAGGACGGATTTGTTTCAGTTCAACAGTTTCATGTTTAAATAATTGAACTTTTCAATAAATAAATCAGTAATTTTCTCCAACAAAACAAGAAAATTTGTTTAAAAAAGTTAAATTTTAAATGTTTGTTTTCACTTTTTGCTGTAAAATCTGAAGAGTAA